ATGTTTTTGGAGATTCTCAAAGAAACCTTGAACTCTTCCGGAGCTGAAATATAGCTTGATATGGCTGGGTGTCCAAGTTACATATGTACCTAATATGTTAATATATGGATATATATGGTGGTATGTTAGACATGGTACGAGATCTGCATAGTCTATAGCCATATCATCGAAAGAAATTTAGAAGTCAAACTTCCGACAATATGGACAGATGAAAAAGCAGAGGTGTGACGAATCAGAGAAGAAAAAACACCATATCTTTTTGTCACCTTCATCCCATTTGCACCATCCCATCACATGACCCGTGTCGCCGTGTCGCCGTGTCGCCGTGTCGCCGTGTCGCTGTGTCGCTTCGTTGGTCTCGCGAGGGCAACGGCTATTGGTCCCGCTCCCGGCGGGATGCTGGGCAGAAACCGAGCGCCGAAAAGTGAAAATCGAGGCCACGGTTATCACAGTGGTGTGCAACAATGTGCAACAAACTTTATAAATGTGAAACAAATGGTTACAAAACTAATTTACAAATGTTACAAACATGTAAAGCAGGTAGCTACCATGGTAGCCACCATGGTAGTCACCGTAGTACTATATGGTCCTATGGGATAGGATATGTGTTAAGATGTGTTGGCGCAAAGGAAACACAATTTGGGCAGTTGTTGTTTGTCAGAAATATTGCAAGATATTGCAAGACATGTTGTCGAAAATTTGTGACGCCAATAGCGGAGCGTTGGAAACCTGCGGACTTGGATCCCATAACCCCGCACCTCATTCCAGGCAAATCCTACAAATCCCACCTTTCTGATGGCCCCTTGAGTCCTTCGTCCTCAGCAGAACAAGAATGTATGTTGTCTCGAACCTTTGGACCATAGTTTGTTGGAAGATCCACCACATTCCACGCCACTTCCTAGCTTGATTCTACAACATGAACTTGAACCTAGAAAAAAATATGTATATAAATTGTTGCTCATGCAGGAATAAATAGTGGAACCCCAAAGCCGCCTGCGCCAATCCTGCACCAGCAGACTAGATTCACATCAACAGCAACATCCACTTTGACCTCTGTATAGCATGGTAGAACGAACAAAACCCGTTCATGTGAAATCACAACTCATTTGAGTTGATCCGATTTTACCCAACTTTGATTCAAAACTAGATTCAAATGCTTCAAATCCATTTCTTTATCGATCATTTCATTTTTTCAATATTTTCATTATTTTCTTCGACCAGATTCGCCTCTTTTCAGGTAGTGGAAGTGGCTCGACAAAGCGAAGCGCAGTCATTGTCCTTCGAGGACACGGAAACATGGGGAAAACTGCAGAAGCTGGGACAGGCGGGACAGGTGCGACTAAGTGACAATGATTCCATTCATTGTGTCCACTCATTTCTCATCGTTTCTCATCATTTTTTGATCCTACGTTGATCCAATTATTTTGCGCTTCTATTGCCTATACAACCATTTTGGCAAATTTGTGCCCTGGTAAGTCTGGTAAGTCATTGCAAGCCTATAGATTATATATATATTGGTACGTTGCTTATGACTCACCAACTCGTTTCACCCACCATACAGCGCCTCCATTCTTTGCACAAATTTTGTTTCTGTTTCCCTTCCTTGTCAGGGCATGGTGAAGACATTGAGCGGTTAGCTGATGATATGCTGATTGGTGGGAATTTGCCTCCTCCAAAGCTTGACCAATTTTGGGATTTCGACCGTTTCAAATGCTCCACCTTGTCAAGCAAATCATTCTTTCTTTGCTTCCTGATGGGTTTAAAATTAATTTGAACTCAATAACCAGAAATTTGGAACCACTCATGTCTCATTCCAAAGTCAGTTTGCCTTGGTGATGTCACTTGGCCCCCGCGCCCAACAAGCTTTGTGGCAGTGAGTGCAAGGCAAGGTGATCTTTACCCAGCGCGGTGACTAAGTGGAATTTGCACTTGCACCGTAATTGCGAAAGCTAGCTTCTGCTAGCTGAAGTCCCTGTTGCTTTAGCAAGGTATTGGGGAATCTCAAATCGCATGAAACTTCATACTTAGCTACCCCCCCTTGGCTGGCTGGTTCACAAGCAGTTTCGCTGTGGCTCAATCACCTTCGGGGACATCTTTGGCATGTCGCCACCGGCAGCAAATTCGGCAGCATTCGCATCCTCAGCATCATTGTGTTTTCATGCCATGCTCCCTGCCAACCTAGCTTTCCTCCCTTACCCCTGGGCCGCAAATTCCATTTTTATTTTCTATTCATGTGTGGGGTCATCTTGAAAGTCGGATTATTTTCATCGTCTTGCTCTTGAGAAAAAGCGAGACTCACATTGGATCCTTCTGGCGTGTCTATCTTTGCTAAGATGCAGTTGTCAATTGTTTTTTCCAAAACATGTAACACACCCCGAAGAACTGAACAGTCGTTGCATGCTACCATGTGGATGCAGGAGTTCAAGAAAGTTGCTGGCAAAGACGTCACCAATAGCTGTAAAGAGACGGTCAAATACAAGGCCGGGTGAGACAAACGTGTATTTACAGCTGTGGAGAAACGATGACGCGGGGTTGGCCAGAAAAGTTGGTTGTTTGGAAGTCGCCGTTCAGATGGCAAGTAATTGACTAAGCGAACTGCGGCGTCTGGGAATACCTTCGCAAGGCCCACATGCAGGTTCACAGGTCGAGCCGTTGAGGGCCTAATGACCACAATCAGATCACAATCGCTCCCAGCCCTAACACCCGTTCCCGGCCATGCCCGGCCATACCCCTCTTCGTTGTTTCCTCGGCATTGTCTCAGCCGCTCATTCCTGCATCGATTTTTTGACATTGCCTTTGGAAGTTGCACTGGAAACCTCGCTCAATCTGGGAGCCTTCTGGGAGCTTTCTGGGAGCCTTTGGGAGCTTCTGGGAGCCTCCGGGAGCTTCTAGGAGCCTTCTGGGAAGCTTCTGGGAGCCTTCTGGGAGCCTCTGGGAGCCTTCTGGGAGCTTTCTGGGAGCCTTTGGGAGCTTCTAGAACCTCCGGGAGCGTCTAGGAGCCTTCTGGGAAGCTTCTGGGAGCCTCTGCGTAGAAATTGCTTTGGGCTTCGATGGGGTATGACCAAGGTGACAAGAGATTGCTATGTAAGAATCATTCTTGGGTTGCATGACTTCATGTGCGAAGATTCAAGTAGTAAAGTCTAGTAAATTGTGTCCAGGAGCACGTTCTGGTTGTGATTCGTGGGTGTATCATGGTCAGTGCGCAATGTGTTATTACAGGGTGATGCCACGATTTTGAATAGATGTATTGCGATGCTATACAACGCTCAAGAGCCACTACAGTCGTGTGACACAGCTCGTATATTATATTTATACTAGTATACGGTATATATGTATATATATATATAGTATGTAGAGCTTCGCACACCCGCGATGCCATATGGGCTCTCTATATTATGTATATTATTATTATTGTTATTATTTCTTCATTATTATTATTATTTGTTGTTGTTCTTGTTGTTCTTCTTCTTGTCGTTGTCGTTGTCGTTGTCGTTGTCGTTGTCGTCGTTGTCGTCGTGGTCGTGGTCGTGGTCGTGGTCGTGGTCGTGGTCGTGGTCGTGGTCGTGGTCGTCGTGGTCGTGGTCGTGGTCGTGGTCGTGGTCGTGGTCGTCGTCGTCGTCGCCGTCGTCGCCGTCGTCGTTGTGGTTGTAGTAGTAGTAGTAGTTGTTGTTGTAGTTGTAGTTGTAGTTGTAGTTGTTGTTGTTGTTGTTGTGTGAAATATTCACCTTTCTCCCACGTCATTTTACCATGCCAAGTACTTCAATGTACTTTGGCTCAAGCACGATACTTTGGTATCAGCACAGGAGAGAAAAGACTTTGTGAGGTTGGGCCGGTGTGATCGAGTTTAGAGTAGATAGTCACTTTGTTTGCTCAGTTGTGCCAGAGCCTGCTACTTTCGCATGGTAGGCGGAGCTTAAAAGGGCTCAGGGAACTGGTAGAAAAATGGCCCTTGAATCTGGGCAGTTTGACTTTGCAGGGAAGATTTGTCTTCCGCTGCCCAAGGCTTTCTCTGGAACACTTGCAGATTGGGAGGAATGGAGTTGGCAAATCCCACATCAGCGTGTTTGATGCAACGGTGAAAACTTTGCTGGATGACGTGGAGAGCCGACAGACAGTGCTTGCGGATGCCGATCTCACAGTGACTTTGGACACAGGAGATGTGGACAATGTTGCAACCCAAGCAGCCATCAACTTTAGCAGAACGTTGCGCTATTTGCTTAGGAACCTGACAGCAGACTCTGCTAGGTCGATTTTGCATGGCAGGCGTGGCACTTCCTGACATTCTCACGTGTCTGCAAAAGTGACAGTGTCCAAAGTCGTTTTGTGCGACAGGCGCAATACTTTTGCAAGTTTTCAGAAGATGACATCCATTTTTCGTTGCAGGAGCAGCACTTTGGCTGTGTCCATCTTGCTTTTGCAAGGCAGGCGCAGCACTTCAGACATGCTGTGTTGCGTTTTTTGCGAATCGCAATGCCAGGGCTGCATCAAGTGGTGACAACATGCAAATTCCGTGGTAGGCGTGGGACATCGTGAGAGTGTCATTTTGAGTGGAAGGCGCAGTATTTATGTAGCATGCTCTAGACTCCACACTCCACACTTCACATTCCACACTTCACACTCCACACTTTGCACTTTACACTTTACTGTGAATTTGGTGCCACCAAATCAGTGCGAACTCAGTGATTGCCAGGAAGTCATCGAGAACATCATTTACATTTGGGACTTGCCTGCATCGCCCGTTGCATTTGGGCTTTTGTGGTGCATCGGCACTATTCATTCGGGTCCACAGGGCCCTTGAGCATTATCAATCATATGGCAACGCAGATAAAACTGAAGAAACCTGACCGGGCTCAGCACCTTCTGGTAGGGAATCGCAGTATGTCAAAGACAACAACGTGCCTCGCTTTGACAACACCTTGACCGGGTACAAGGAGTGGAGAAAGCGTGTGGTTTTGTACTCCAGACGCTTGGCGATCCAGGGCAGGGCAAAAGAAGTCGGAATGAATGTCTTAGCGATCCTAGAAGGTTCCAGCTGGACACCGTGTGAGGACATAGACTTGAAAGAACTCGAAAGTGAAAACGGTTTAGATGTCCTTTTAGCACGTTTAGACAAACAGTGGCAGTACGATGACCGAGTGGAAACTAACAACATTTTCGACAACTTTTTCTTCAAGGTTCAACGGAAGACTGGCCAAACTCTCATGGAGTATGTCACAGAGTTTCATCAAGCCTTGAGGGAAGTCTCACGTCTGAAGGTGTCTTTGCCTGATGAGATCACAGGCTGGCTGCTTCTGAGGCGTGCCGCACTCACCAAGGATCAGCAGCATCTTGTGCAAACTCAGGTCGGCAGAAACTTCACCCTGAAGAATGTCGAGCAGAGCATGTATCAGGTGTTCGGCCAGGACTACAGGCAGACCTACTTGCCCAACACCAACAAGGCCAAGGGCTTTGCGAAGGGCAAGGGCCGTCAACATATCATGCATGCTGATGATTCATGTGATGATGGGAGTGAATGGCAAGAGTACTATGAGACCGATGAGGTCTACTGGGATGCAGCTGGCGAGTCACCTGACCATGAAGAATACTATGATCCAAATGATGAGACGTGGGATGATACCTACTATGAGACTGAAGAGTCCTACCAGGATGAATCGCTCTTTGACATCCAAGAGTATGATGAGGCCTACACGGCCTACACCGATGCCAAGCAGCGCATACAGCAGCTTCGTCAGGCCAGAGGCTTCTATCCAGTTGTGGCTCTCATCGACAACAAGCAGATGCCTCTTGCTGCGTCAGGCGCTGGAAGTCCGAAAGGCAAGGGCAAAAAGTCAAAGAAACCCACCGAAGCTCCACCGTATGCTAAGGGTAAGGGTCCTAAGGCTAGAGCCAAGTCTTTCTTTGGCAAAGATGTTTGTTTGCGTTGTGACAAAACTGGCCATCGAGCGGCCAACTGCACTCAACCCTCGAGCTCTTCGGCATCGGGCTCCAGCAAGAAGCGTGTCATTGATCTTGATCCCATGGTGAACATGGTCTTCCATCAGCAGTCTTCTTCATCTGGCGAGAATGACGAGTTCTTTGAGACTGAAGAGGCCTACGCACAGGGCGAAGCACTGGTGCGAGCTGGTGGCTGGATCACCAAGGATGCGGACATGTGCATACAAGATCAGGGCGCTCCTTCTTTCTTGGCTGGCAGCGAGTACATCCTGCGGTATCTCAAGTGGCTGGAGATCAAAGGGTATCCTATGGATGACATTGTCTTCAAGCGCTGTGACAAGTCTTTCAGATTTGGGGGTGACGCCGAAGGTCACTCACGATGGATGGTCGAGCTCCCCGTCTTCATCTCCAACACACCTGGGCGCATGCAATGTTTTGTCATTTTTGGGGCAACGCCAATGCTCTTGGGTCGTCCAGTGTTGGAACAGCTTGGAGCGGTGGTGGACTTTGGAACTGGGAAAATGAGGATTCTGGGCGGTCAATGGACCAACATCAAGCGTGGGAAGCAGGACGCAATGCTTCTCAAGCTGGCTGACAATGTGCAGAACATCTCCGATTTCAAAGATCCTCGGTTTGATTTGCGAGCCAAAGATGACGATCACTCCAAATCCGAGCACCTACGAGATTTTCTGACAGATCTCCGAGCCGAAGGTCGATACGACGAGATGCAGTCCGAGGTTCAGTTCGCCGAAGATCCTGATGATGAGGTTTTCTATGAAGTTGAAAGCTACATGAACGTGGAGGACGACGCCTCTGACGAGATCTTCAGCAAGAATGAAGTGGTCGAACGAGACCAATGTGCGATGACCAAGACATGGGTCTGGATGCAGGGCCAACTGACTGCAACCAATCGTCGCACAGCAGCTCTGGCGAATGAAGCTCGAGATCCTGCTCAACCCAGGAAGAAGCTCATTTGGGAGGTCTACAGTGGCACAGGTCTTCTTGGCGAAATGGCTGAACTCATGGGTGCCGAAGTCATGCGATTTGGGCTTCCCAACGGCTGGGACTTTACCAAGTCATCTCATCGGCGCCAGCTCTTGCAAATGGCCGATGAACTTGAACCTGATGAAATCTACATGTCTCCAAAATGCACCTTGTGGAGCCAGATGCAAGCCATCAACATCTACAACGATGCGGATTGGCAGGACCTTCAAGAGCGACGGCACTATGATCATGAAGTTCACCTCAAATTTTGTCGAAAGCTTTACCTTCGACAAGTGCGTCGAGGAGCCCATGCCCATGTAGAACATCCCAAGGGCAGCCTGGCCTGGGAAACACCAGCCTTGAACAACCTTCCAGGCGAACGAACAACCTTCGATCAGTGCTCCTACCTCTCTCAAGATCGACAACGAGGACTGGCTCGTGAAGAAACCGGCATCAATTCACACAACGAAGCGAGCCATGTGCAAGATCATGTCACGACTTTGCACTGGCGATCATCAACATGCAAGGCTCGAAGGTGGGAATCGATGCAAGAAGACCGAGAACTACCAAGCAGAGCTTTCCTGGCACATTGCCAGGGCTCTCATGCATGACGAAGGACTGTCTGAACAGGCCTATGCAGTTCAACAAGATCAAGAAGTACAAGAGCTTACTGGCATTCTGCGGAAGCTTGGCACTCAACACAGCCACGAAGCTATCAGACTGGCCTACAAGCTCCATCGAAATCTTGGACACCCACGAAAGGAAACTCTTGTCAAGATGTTGCAGGCCAAGAAGTGCAGTCCCAAAGTCATTGCAGCGGTAGAGGCCATGGAATGTCCCTATTGCAACAAGTTCGCGGTCAAGAAACAATCAGCACCAGCACATGCAGAACGACCCACCGAGTTCAACGAGCAACTGCAGGTTGACACCATGTGGATTGACCTCAGCTCCATTGATGGCGCTCCAAATACCACATCAACCACTTCCAAAGGCCGAAAGATTGCAGTCCTGGTGATGATTGACACCGCCACCAGGTACATGGCAGCACGAACCATCCCTGATGAGACAAGTGGTTCATTGCGAAAGGCCTTGGAGCGGGAGTGGATCGAAATTTTTGGTCCGCCGAAGCAGCTTAGTGTGGATGAGTGGTCAGGATGGGGCAGTGATGAAATGGCCCAATGGGCAGGGGAGCATGCCATTGAGATGCGCATATCTCCAGGCCAAGCCCATACAAGGACCTCTGTAGTCGAACGTCGACATCAGCTGCTGAGAAAATCCCTCTCCATATTCATGGCCGAGAACAAGCTCTACACCTTGGATGGTCTTCACCAAGCTCTCTCCTGGACAGTGCCCTGTCTTATCAGAGCACCTTCGTCAATGGCTACACTCCAGTCGACCCAAATTTGCCTGGACTGATCTCAGATGACCGAACCGGTCCACTTCAGCTTCAACAAACGGAGCAAGATCGACTTCGTCGAAGACTGGAGCTGAAAGCGAAGGCCCAACATGCCTGCGCTCAAGCTGAGATCGACGTGAAGCTCAGGAGGGCAATGCTGAGAAGATTCACTGGGAATGACGAAGATCTTCAACCAGGAGAGCGCTGCTTGTATTGGAGAGAAACGGGCAACCGCTTCCATACCGTCCAATGGAAGGGACCAGCAGTGGTTGTCGCCGTCCAGGCAGACCCCGACACTGGCTGCATCGACACCTACTGGCTGGCACATGGCACAGTGCTTCTCCGAGCAAGCCGACAGCACGTTCGTCGACTTGTGAGCGACGATGGACTGGTCAATGGATCACAGCGTGCCGAACAAGCACTAGCTGGCCTTCGCCAACGACGAGTTGTTCGCACAGTTGACCTACGAAGGATTAATCAACACACCTTAGAAGAGTTGGAGCCCGAGATCAGCTCACCCGAAGATCAACCAGACCTTCAAGATCAACAGATCCATGAGCCAGATCAACTACACCAACAACCTGTGCAAGTACCACAACAACCTGTTCCCCTACAACAGCAGCAAGATCAACAACACCAACAACCTTCTCAAGCACCACAGGAACCTGATTCCGTGCAACCGGACATACAACCGCAACCCACAAACTCAACAGCAAATCCCCCTGTTGATCCAAGTGACCCACACCCGGATGACACACTGATGCCAACCGAGATTGAAGCACAACTTCCTCACGAAGTACCAGTGCCTCAAGACGAAGAATTTGAATCTGAGCCACCTGTGGCTGCTGGCAGTGCACCACCTATGCACCTGCGAGATCCAACATACATACCAGCCCAAGGAGAAACCTTCAGACAACAACGACGTCGCTTTGAACAACAAGAGACCATCTGGATGAGAAATCGTCCTCCGCCTGTTCATGAACGCCCTGAAGGCGAACAGCAACAGCGAGTCAAGCGTGCACGTCAACAAGATCAAGAACTTGAGATGCACGTTGATCTCTTTTGTGGGGGAGAAGGGCAAGAATCCACGGCATTGCCCGAAGGATGGTACTTTGACTCCAAGACACAAGAGTTCTACCTGGGCGACACTGTGGACTACTGGAGCTATGAGGATGGCTTCCTTGTCCGGAACCATGTTCTCAGCAGAACCCACACTTTCCAGGCTGAAGAATTTCCAATTCCTCAAGACCAACTTCAAACCACAACTGGCTTGACTTTGCAGCGTGGATCAAGACAGGTCTACGTCAATGACTCCGAGCCTGTTCAACTGGGACATGACCAGTGGTTTGGGAAGACACTCTATCCCCTGACCAAGGAAGCTGCTGAGAATCGAGGCCAATACTACTTGGGTGACTTTTCCCAGAAGCTCCAGAGTAACCAGACAATTCGATGCCGAGGTCATATCTGGGCAGCGCAAGCTTTCCCAAAGCGAAAGGCCGTGAAAGAATCTGCAGATCTCCGAGAGAGCAAGATGAGCTTGGAAGATCGTTTGGCCTTCGTGGAGGGCAAGAAGGCTGAGCTTGCAGCCATCTTTGAGCACAATGTCTGGGAGGTTGAACTACATCCTGAGAAAGTCGACTGGGGACGAGTTATGAAAGCTCGTTTTGTCCTCAAGTGGACCAGCGATCGAAGAGCTAAAGCGCGGCTAGTACTTCAGGGCTTTGGCGACCCAGATCTGCTTCAAGGTGAGTTGAACACCTCATCACCGACATTGGCAAGGTCGTCACGACAGTGCCTCTTGGCAATAGCAACATGCTCGATGTGGAAGCTGTTCATCTCAGACGTCTCCACTGCCTTCCTTCAGGGTGATCCTCAGACTAGAATCCTGTGGGCCAAGATCCCAAAGGATGCTTGCCAACTGATAGGAGTGCCACCTGGCACACTCATGCGGCTTCTCAAACCCATATATGGACAAGCCGATGCTCCCAGACAATGGTTTGTCGTTGCTCGACGCAGATTGATCTCCATCGGCTATAAGCCGCATGCTTTGGACCAATGTCTCTATTTGTTGCATCATGGCCAAGATCTCATCTCGATGATTGGTCTACACGTTGATGACCTTCTAGGAGGAGGTGACGAAAACCATGAGCGATATCAAGATGCGAAGCAACGACTGAAGGCCGAATTCACCTTCAAGCATTGGCGCGAACAAGGTGAAAATGAGACGCTGGAGTTCTGTGGATGTCATCTCACACCCAGTGAGACTGGATGGTTGCTTCATCAGAAAGAGTACATCGTGAAGATGAAACCAATCACCTTAGCAAACTGCAATCAAGAAGATCGAGAACTCAGTCCAAAAGAAGCACGCCTGTTGCGTGCGTTGCTTGGAGGTCTCCAGTGGCCTGCTACCCAAAGCGCACCTCATCTGTGCGCCAGCGTGAGTCTTCTATGCGGAGAAGTTTCTCAAGCAAAGGTGGTTCTCCAAGAACAATGCAGACACTGGACTGAAATTCACTCAACTTGGAAAACTCACTGATCTTTGCATGGTAGCCTTGAGTGACGCGGCCTGGGGAGTGAGACGCAATTCCGAGTCCCAGGGTGGATACTTTGTTCTCCTCATGCACTCTAAGGTTCTTCAAGGACACATGGACCAGCCTTATATCATTCTTGATTGGCGCTCATTCAAACTACCACGAATCAGCAGGAGCAGTTTGAACTCTGAAGCTCAAGCATGCTCAGCTGCCATGGATGCCTTGGAGTATCTCATGATCTTTTGGCATGGATGCATGGTGCATGATTTTGATTTGCGCTACTTGGACACTCAGGACATAGCGATGCAATCAGCACTGGTCATTGACACAAAGGCGTTGTTCGACAGCATCAAGGCCGAAGTTCCCCAACTTCAGGGAGACAATCGCACCAAGATTGAAATCATGATTGTCAAGCAGAAGATGGACGAAATTGGCACGAAACTCCGGTGGATCAGTTCCGAGATCCAGCTTGCTGATGGTGTCACCAAGATTGCGGCGCGTCAGCTCTTGGCCGACCGTATCAGAACACACCTGCTTTCCCTTCAAGCTGATCAAACTTTTCAGGCAGCAAAACGAAAGACGCAAGCTGAACGACAAGCATCAGCGCGTCGCAATGCCATTGGACGCATGGTCCACAAAGGCAGCCTGGGCTACGTGGTTTTGACCAACCAGCTTGTGCCAGTTCGAGGTGAAGATTCTTCACATGACCATTTCCTTGACATCATCTTCACATTTTTCATCATCATCTTTATTTTCCTCATGTGGCAGTTCTTTCAACGAATGACATGGTCCCTGTGGAGCTCTTTTGGCTCAACCAGGACAGTTTCCCCGCTCTTGCAAACCACCTCGACTCAGACCGAACCGGACGGTGAGATTCCAAAGATGCCAGCACCTGGAAAATCAACGTCATCGAATTAACATGCTTACCCAACAGGTCCATGACAAGGACGACAAGATCACAGATTTGCAGGAATGGATTGACTACTATCAAGGAGACTTGGCATCGACACCACTTTGGGCGAGCCGAGCCGGTGAAAGATTTCATGTACGACCAGAATGTGATTCCCTTCGGCATGCCAATCCCGGTGGCATCAGAAGGCTTACACTTTGCTCACATTGCATCCGAGATTTGCATTCGAGCAGCGGTGACTGATGACTCTGGCAATTTCCCTTTCTCCACCAATGTGAATTTGGTGCCACCAAATCAGTGCGAACTCAGTGATTGCCAGGAAGTCATCGGGAACATCATTTACATTTGGGACTTGCCTGCATCGCCCGTTGCATGTGGGCTTTTGTGGTGCATCGGCACTATTCATTCGGGTCCACAGGGCCCTTGAGCATTATCAATCATATGGCAACGCAGATAAAACTGAAGTGCTTGCCTTGCACGTTGCACTTGTTCATTTCCAGTTGTGTTCAACACTTCGACCGGTTGAAACACGAAGATCACTTTCCATATCTTCACATTTACGCTTTACACTTTACACCCCACACTTTACCACACTTTACCAAACTTTACCACACTTTACCACACTTTACCACACTTCACACTCTACACTTTACACTTCACACGCCACACTTTACACTTTACGCTTTACACTTTACGCTTTGCACTTTACACCCCGCACTTTACCACACTTTACCACACTTTACCACGCTTTACCACACTTTACCACACTTTACCACACTCCACACTTTAACCACCACGCTTGACAGTTGACACTTTACACTCCACACTTTACTCTCCACACTCCGCACTTTACACTTTACTCTCCACACTCCGCACTCCACACTTTACACCTTTCACTCCACACTTCACACTTTACACCCTACACTTTCAAGTCCACACTTCACACTCCACACTTCACACTCCACACTCCACACTTTACACTCCACACTTCACACTTTGCACTCCAGATCTTACACTTTACACTCCACACTTTACACTCCACACTCTACGCTCCACACTTCACACTTTACCCCCACACTTTACACTCCAAAAAAATAAAACACTCCACAAATCACACTTCACACTCCGCACTCCACACTCTACACTTTACACTCCGCACTCCACACTTTAGTCCACACTCCATACTTTACACTCCCCCCCCACACTTTACACTCCACACTTTACACTCCACACTCCCCACTTCACACTTCACACTCCACACTTCACATTTTACACTCCACACTATCCACACTTTACACTTTTTACTCCACACTTGACAGTTTACACTTTCCACGCTTGACACTTGACACTTTACACTTCACACTCCACACTCCCCACTCTACACTTTACACTCCACACTCTACACTTTACACTCCACTCTTTACACTCTACACTTCGCACTCTACATTTTACACTCCACACTCTACACTTCACACTTTCCACCCCACACTTTACACGTTACACTCCACACTCCGCAATCCCCACTTCACACTCTACATACTACAATCCTCACTCAACACTCCACTTTCTTCACGCTCCACACTTGGCACTCCACCCCCTTCCACATTCCACAGTCTACAATGACTGGTACGGTAACAGGGCAAACATGGTAAAATGCACAAAACTTTTCAAAAAATTGTTTCACAAAAGTGTTTTACGTGACTGCATTCGGCTTCGTTAGTTTCTCTTGGTTTGCCGTCTGTGCATGATGTTCAGTTCTTTCCTAGCCAGCACTCTTAAAACGGCATTCTTGGACCACTTGAAACGACAAATCAGCAAAAAAAAGGTCGGAAATAGCATGGTAAACATGATGCCCAAAGATGGATTGACTGTCATTGTAACCCGATGTTGGGACGGGCATACTACTTTTTCAGTTCCGGTATGGACCCGAAAATACGTGACCGGGAGCAAACAAGAAGAGAAAATAACAGTCTAGGCAGGGAAAACAAAATTGGACCAACCATTGGCTGGCAGGTGATTTCGAGAATGCCGGCATTGCAATTGTTGTCAAAAACGATCTCCTTGCTGAATTAAAAAATCAAGCAAACAAATTGCCAAATTACTTCAGCCACTTTTGTGTCAAGTGACATATTTTATAGATGGCAATTTACTGCTCGAATTCATCACGTCGGAGAGGGTGATACTGATTCCTGCGGACCTCACATACAAGGAAGGGGCATGGAATATCTAATCTAAACATCATTCTTGTGCTCGCTTGACTCGTCTCCTACTTTGTCTTCCAACTTGTCCCCCCACTTTGTCTCCCAGGTTGACTCCCACTTTGTCTCCCAGCTTGTGTCCCACTTTGTCTTCCAACTTGTGTTCCACTTTGTTCCGCAGCTTGTCGCCCACTTTGTCTCAAACTTTGTCTCTCGCTTTGTCTCCCGCTGTTTATCCATTTTTGTCCCACTTGGTTCCCGACTTTGTTTCCCACATTGTCTCCCAGTTTGAATTTGTCTTCCACTTTCTCTTCCAGTTCTTCTCCCACTTTGTCCCCACTTGTTTCCCACTGTGTCGCCCACTTTGTCTGTCATTTTGTGTTTTCATGCTGAGTGCTGAGAATGAACATGCGGCCCAAACATGGATGTTACTTGGAAACCGTTTCACCTTGCGTTTGGAATCCTCACTGCTGTTGGGTTGCAAAGCTGGGTTTTTGTTATTTCCTATGAGGCCGGGGCCAAACTGTCCTTGTGTGTTTTTTCGGTTGAACGAACGGAAACAGAAAAAACATATGTGGAAAAAACCGGCCGTTGTTTTGCTTGATGAGCCGGTATCGCAATGAGTTTGCTCAAAACCATTGTGTACTAGACCGGCATGAAACATGTTATATAGAGAAAACGTTTTGTTTTTGTTTTGCTTAATGGGCCGGAATGAAGATGCGTTTGTGAAAAACAACTGTTATGTGATCGGCATGAAAACCATTGTTCATGAATCCATTTTGCGTTGAACAAACAATTTTTATTCTGGTTGGTGGGCCGGGTTAACAAAGCACTTCTGAAGAACAGCACTTTCTATCTGGGGCCCATGCCGGTGTAATCTTGTGGTTGCTTAGATTCCTGGTTGTTGGTGTTGATGTTGTTGTGGTTGAAACAGGAAAACTCTTATTTCCTGGCGCGTTCCCCCTGGCTGTCGGCCGGGTCGGCGGATATATCAGTATACTTCGGTTAAGAGTTCGTCTCTCTTAAGAGTTCCAAGTTGGGACGCAATTGAACGAAAACGTTATTAGGTGGCTTGTGAAACATGCGCAACTCCTATGAAACGTGCAATACTCCTATGAAACGTGCATAACTTCTATGAACCGTGCACCTCTATAAAGCACTGCAAAGAACTCTTGTGTATTCCTAAAGCCTCGTCGTTCTAAAACACTGTAACGAACTCTTGAATGGAGCATACAAAGATGATGCATTTGTCCGCGCGCACCCATGAACAAATTAGCGCGCGCAGAATCAACTGGAATTTTGTTGCAACTGGCGGCCGGGCCACACCAAAAACATACAGATATGTGTGAGCAGTCTATCGGGTAGATCACCGTAGCGACGTGACATGGGCAGGCCATACTCACTTTCGACAGCCAGATGCACTGAGCTCAGCCGAGTGTTTTCAGGTCGTTTCGCTTTGGGATCTGCAGGATTTTTTTAAGCCCAGGAAAATGCAATGTCCCAATGTCAATATAGGGTGGTGGGGTTGCAATGGGTTGCAACTTTGGACCTGAGAGGCACCGGCCAGGTCATCCTGTCATCCTAGACCAGCCATTTTTTTGGACTCTTTAGACATGACAAGATCGGAAGATACGATTGCACAATGATATGTGATGAATTACATTGAAGTACTGTATATTGGATTTTCCCACCCTGTCCAAAAAACCCGGTGGCGGTCCTACTGATAGTGTGGTCAAAACATTGGTTTCAGGAAAATGTAATACTGCATCATTTCATGTTCGTTTTAAATCCTGCAAAATATTCATGATATTAAGTAGGTCCGTCGTGGTAGGGATCTTGGCAGCTGAAATTGGCTGATGCCGGTGCAGAGGTTGGTGGATCAGCCAAAAACTCTGGGAGTTTTCCTAGTGAAGCCTGACCAAGAAGAAATGCAGGCGAGGGCCAAGAATCAGAAGAATCAGCTTGGTACATCTTGGTACATCTTGGTATAATCCATCTTGGTAATCCGTGTTTGTTTCTGGATTTCTGGGCGGCTCCAGTGGTTCAGCCGTATGTTTCTGTTGGACTCGTTGCGGTTCAACAGTTCGACTTGTTCGACGCAGATGGATGTGTTCCAGCCCTACAATGATGAGGGAACGTTGTCCGAGGCCAACAGGGCCAGTGCCAAATCTGAGGGCCCCGTGAACAAATGAATTTGGCACAAATGTATTTCTTCATGTATTTTAATGAAGATTTTCAATGTTTTCATTGTAACATTATTTAACATTATGTAACATTATGTAACATTGATCATTTGAAACCAGCGGGACATCCTTTGGAGTGTTTAACACGGTAAGTCTAAGTGTCATTCAGACGAAATCTTCAGACACGCTGCAATATCCATCACATTTGTACCAATGAATACTAGCCAATTCATGGTCAACAGTTTAAAGAATAAGAACCTCAAAGAAGTCTATAATTTGAATGCTTCATTTCGCTCATTCAGTGACTGATTAGCTGATTGACTACCCGACCAGATTAACATCAGTATTCGATACGATTCCGTATTTGGTTGGTCAATGCCACTAAAAGAAAGCAAACTGCGCATATTTAGGGTACTTTTGACGACTTTGGTGCAGCTGTCGCTGTCTGAATCTATTTGACTTGGTCAGTGTCACTTGCTGAGGGCATGCTCAGCTTGGACTTCTGCTTGCGTGACAGAGATCATGCGCGTGCTGGGAAACACAGAGATCTTGCAATTCCAGTTGACATGTGGGTTCTAGATGCTTCTAGTACAGCAGACACAAAGCTCTAAAAAAGTTTGCGGCACAGGTCACATCATGACACTGATCAAAGCAAGACAGGTGAAGTGTCTTCTCGGGAACAGTTCGCAGTTCATGCAAACAAAAGGGCAGACACAAAATTAAAGAGCATCCGGATGCGTCACATCAAGAAGGCGAGATCGACAGAATTGCCAGCAGCATCACACCAATCTCCGAATTGCCAGCGTCACATCACATCAATCTCGAGTGGACAATTGAAACAACCAATAGCAATGCATCACGTCATTTTCAGAGAGGGGGAGGCAGAATCGCCAACACAACTGACTACCAGGTTTGTTCCATCATGTTCCTATATTTTTGATACATCCGTTTCTTCTTGAGAACATGCACGCACACACACACACACACTGTGGGGTATATAATGGTTAGTGGAATTTGTGAATGATGTCACCGTCGTCGCCTAATGTCCTGAGTTGCCTTCCATCGCAAGCACACTGCAACACCGTGAGGTCGTCGCATTCGAAACGATGAATTCTGGAAGATCGAAAATCCAACCTGTCGGAATATACCTAAACAACCTGAGGAGAAAAGCTTGTTCAACCGTTCAAGCAGGTACGTGAAAACGGCGTCCCGTTTTCATATCACAGGAAAGAGTGAAGGTCTTCGTTGGTGCCAGCTTCACTCAAACCTCTGGCACCCCCTGCTTCATCTTAACCTGAAACCTAAGAAGCATACCTGACAGAATGTGTACCTAGCCTGAAAGGAACCTAATGATGATGACAGGTGAGGTGAAAGATCTCCAGGGACTAGAGACTGCTTTGAAGCGATATATCGAAACATGATCGATTCATCAAAACCAAACCGTTTGCTATAACGGTATACACACACACACACTGACACTCGCTCACACTCAGAGTTGTCACATCAAGCCCACGTTCCGGCCTTGTGTCATGGGCTGTGTCATGTCACCACAATCATCACATTTGATCACTTATCAGACTTATCACATCTCATCGCTGACTCATCACATCTCGTTTCATGTCATGACAGTCCCAGTCAGTCCCAGAGTCGCTGAGGCCACGATGGGTCAAGCCAGTCAGCGCAGTTCCCTCTGCGTGGGTGACAAGGCGCTGTTGCGATCCACAAGCAGAGCGGGGTGTTTTACATGGTTTTACTTCATGACCTTGGGAATAGTCGAGTCGTTTTCCTATATTTTCCCAATATCTTTTTTTTACGCATTTTGAACTTTGGTTTTGAATAAGTGGCAGAAGAAAGCGTCGAAAGTGTCAGGCCATGCTGATTCTTGAAGAGCCAGGCCCCAAGGCAGTGCGTGGCCTTGTGTGAACTCGTGTGGCCTTGGACCACAGTGAGCAACTATGAGCAACTACTTGTGATGATTTGGTGCCATCTGGATCATCTTTGTCATGACTGATGCCATTTCTGATGTCATTACAGGTGTCAAAACAGGTATCAGAAAGGTATTTCAGTGTGGCGTACATAGGTCATGGCCTCCGCGCTCCAAAATCAAACATAAAACGACATGATTTATACATAACATACAAATATACAATTATAAAATCATAAAAAATACATCAACTACCCACCCCAACGATCCCATCCCGAACGAAGTGATGTGAAATTATGTGATCAATACTGCGAACGCCATTGTTCAACTATGTTTGCATTGCACGGGCGAGCGAGGATTCGTTCTTGATGTGTCACCTTGGCTAGTTTTTGTTTTCAGGGCTGGACGCATCAGACACATGCAGTCAAGAGATGCCAAGGGGCTCAACTGGAGTGACCAAGCCCATGCACTGTGAAATTGATGAATTCAGTGTCCATCCATTGTGTCCCCAACCTGTGCAACCTATGCAACCTCTTCCAATGATGTCCGCCCGTGATATCAGTGACCTGCCGTGACCTGCCTCCCTGCCTAGGCCTTTCAGCTACCCCAAAGATGCCAGCGAGTTCCGAAAGCAGTTCTGCGTGGGCGAGTTCTCAGCAAAGAAGAAGGACGGACGGAGTCGGTCGGACAAAGCGAGCCACAGAAACACTCTGAGAGCGAGCCTTCTGAGAGCTATTCTGCTATTCTGAGAGCTTTGAGTGAGACAGAGACGAAAGCAGAGAGCGAATTGACTCTGGGAGGGAGAATTGAGTAATTGAGACGAGGAGAGATTTGGGAAAAGACACCTGCGACACGACACGAGTGACATGAGTTACACGAGTGGCATGAGATATCACAAGACATGGCTCTCGGTAGCATGACGCAGTTCTCAGCTGTGCACCTTGCTCTGCGCTTGCTGTGCACCGGGAGTGCACCTTGCTCATTTTTCTCTTCGGCGTTGCGTCTTGCAGGAGTGGGGTGCTCCGGGTGCTCCGTTGCGAGAGCCTTGCCTCAGCAGCGAATATGCCGACAGCGGCCTTGGCGAACTCGTCGGAGACTCACAACGAACAAAACTGACGAACAGCAAAATTGCAGAACTGACGAGTTGCAAAACGATCTGCACGTTCTGCACGTTTTGCACGTTTTGCACGTTTTGCACGTCAACGTGTTCGCCAACTGCAAAGTTCGCAGTTCGGTGTGTTGTTCGTGCAGCCGCACCGAGGTGCCGAAACGCCCTTTCAAGCAGAACTGCTGGCTTGGATTTCAATTATTTCAAGTAGATCATTGGATTCATTGGATCTTGTTCAAGTAGATATATCATGATGTATCATGATGTATCATCCGAAAGGTTCCTGGACGTTGCTGTGGGACGACTGGGTAGAGTCTAGGCCCTAGGCTGGTTTCATCATGTTTCATCATGGTACATCCTCCAGCGGTCATTTCATTCTCTGAATTCTGGCAACACGAACTGCAACGGTGCTCAGTTCTATGGATTTTGGAGCCTCCATGCAGGTTATCCGTGCTGTTGGCCATTCGTCCCTTCATGTTTTGCCAGGAGTTTCATTCCTACCTTTTGCGATGACATCATGCCTCACAAGTATGCCTGGTGCTGAGTTTCTGCTGAGTTGGTCAGAGATCTGTATCGAGCGAATATTTCCAAAGACGTTGCAACATAGCGGCGGGTTGAAATTGTATGTGATACATCTGATACACTGTTCTTAATCTGATGCCACTACTACTACTTTCCTATACCTATCGGCGAACTGTCAAGGTGTAGTTGGTATACTAAGTTGAAGACGGTGAAGATGGTAGATGGATGGGTTAATGGATGGTAGTTCTTGGGCTGTAGCCCTTAGCTCTTTGGTGAAGTTAATGAAGTATTGCGTTGGTGACATCCACGCGGAACTTGCTCCAAGGGTGCAACACAAACACATGGCATAAACGGCATAAACTCTTCCAGTTAACATGGAATCGTTGCTTTTGCACCACGTCACTTGAACGAACCAAAGACACGGAATCACTCTCTAATTGTCTCCGACGTCGGACACATCGTGTTACGTCACTGTTGCGTCACCGTTACGTCACCGTTACGTGCTTGTGCCTCGAGCAAGTCGTGACACGTCGTGACATGTCGTGACATGTCGTGACACTTGTGCACAGTGTACCAGGTCTTGCCGCTGTCGGAGAAAGATTTTGTGGACTGAGTTTTCTCGGAGCTGCATCGCAGGGTTACGAAATGTGGGAGTATAGTGTCCAAAAATATTGTGGGTTGGAGCATGCTCAGATTGCAGAGAGTGCATGATTTCGAAAACCTTGAACACTTTTGATTTGTTTTGGGGCCAATGAGTGCTTGCGCGATGTTAGTTGCAGGACCAGCACAAATCAGGCTTTTGGACTCGGATTATGGACGACTTCGCAAAGGGAGTCGCAAAGGGCTTGGTTTCAGAAGACTTTGCAAGTACTTTCTGTTCTTATTCCATCCATGTCAGAGTTTGTCAGTATGATAATGTGATTGAAGTATGCTGATGAGTGTGATGGTTTGATGAGAGATCATGTGAGATGATGTGAGATGATGTGGGATGGTGCGAGATTATGTATGACGATATGAGATGATGAGAGACATGCGAATTTTCAGATTACACAGTGATTACACAGGCGTTTTTCAACGACCCTGACTTGGTAACCCGGCACCCGGAGCTTTTCTTGGTCACCGGATGTCACCGGCGTAACTCGAGGCTCGTGGAGAGCATCGCGACTTGCCCTACCGCTCCGGGCCGAACAAACCTGTCGTCCGGGCCTCGGATGGTGAAAGCGTCGTGTCCGAACAAACGTGTCTCGTCGTATTTTACTTACTTTTACTTTCAGTGTCAGATCACATATTTTCACATATTTTCACATATTTTCACATATTTTCACATATTGTATACAAATACATTAATATTTATATTACATGTATAGGCATACGTATGTATACTGTGCATCACTGTACATACTCATTTCATGGAAGCAAATCTAAGATGATCAGACCGGAACCAGGTTGGCAATTGGGACGAAGATTGGGACCAAGGTAAGCCATTTGACACACATGAATCGCCACGTGCCGGTGACTGTACTGGCTGTCTATGCTGATGGCACTTGCGATCTGGAGGCATCCAGGGGTGTCAGGGGTGTTAGGTTTGCATGGCGGCAACTGTGGCATGTGAACACACCAAACCTATCCGCACGTGAATTTGTTCTTCAGCAGCACACTTATCAAGGGATGAAACAAATACAACCATTGGGCAGGAGATTTTCATTGTTGTTCCCCACCTGCCAGGTGAGGGTCTCTAGATTTTATCAGAGCTACGCTGCTCCTTCCTTCCTCTTTGTCTGGGCACTGCCGGACCTCAACCGCGAGCTCCAGATCTCAGTCGGCACTGCCGGACCTCCCACTGAGATCTGGCGCTCGCGGTTGAGGTCCGGCAGTGCCCAAGTCAGAGAGAATGCCAGAATAGATTAGCCAGAATAGAATGTCAGAAGATTATACCATGTAATATAGATATCCATATATACTTCCAGAATCTTCCAGAAAGTATGACAAATAATTGTCAGGGTGGGGATCACTCGAAGGAAAGTAATTTCTCTTCCTGCAGCTATAAAATGAATCCTTGCGGAGCTGTTGTACCTTCGTTGTACCTTTGGACAGCCGAAATTTGTCAGATCACAGACCTCTTCATGAAAAAGTGGGAGGATCAAAAGTCCCGGAAGCCGAGAACCTAAGTGGTTGGCTGCAAGCATAGGGTTCGAGCACAAATCTGCAGCTGGGCGCAGCTTTTGGCAAAACATGCTTCTACCGCAGCTTGGCGGTGCTTGGCATGTCTGATTTTTGGAAAGCGCTTTGTTTGAGGTTTGCTTTCTTTGGAAAGCTTCGAGCGGAGAATGATCGCTATGTCCTAACCAAAGTGCCCCAGATTTTGGTCGGTGCCTGGCTTATATGACCGTGTGCGGCAGGATACAACGCATCTGTTTTCTGCTTTCAAATCAAACCTGTAAGAGCAGCAAAATGAACAAGAGACAATGAACATTGACTGATACTTTTGACCAAGGTTCTGTTCACTACTCTGGCATCAACGTCTATGATTCGGCGTCTGGCTTCCAGTTTTGAGCACTGTAGGATACTATAGGCAACTGTTTCCATTTTCTGCTGGCATTTCTCTAGGAGTGACTTTTTCAGTGGAAAGACAATGGATGGTGAAGTCACAAAAAGATAAAATAGGACACCTTGACAGAACCAGGTTGACAGACAATACCTGTACTTGGAGCAAATTTCAAAATGGTTATCCAAACTGACAAACTGCAAGCTTATCAAGTGCATTTGGGATCATTTCGGAATAGCCAAGACACAGAACTGACATGAGATGATGCAAGCGACGATCCAGGCCGTTTGAGGCCAACATTTGTATAGTGATTAGCTTTGAATCTGGTCGATTGTGCCAGTTGTGTATCCAATTGTCCCAGGTCTTCAACACTCCTCAAACATGTCGGCAGCACATTTTCAACACATCTTGAGTCTCCACAACGCGTCTTCAACACGTCTCCAACACGCTTTCAGTACGCTTCCCTAGGTTGAAGAGCACGGAGGATGTGCTGCGGGCACCGAAGCCCTCGAACGCCTTCGACCCGCGGTCTGCGGAGGTTGGGCAGCATGTGATGTGTATAACGAATCAGATATCGGAAGATTCAAACAAATTTGAACCGATATAGAATTTTAGCATGAACAGATAGAATAAGAGCAGATAAACCTCTAACCTTTCATGTGCCACAGAAAAAGCCGTCCATGTTTTTTGCTTGATTTGCTTTTCTGTTCCTTCCAGGGGGTCCCCAAACCGAGCGCTCGATTTGTTCTGTATACCGGTTACCAAAGACGAAGGATGCGACTCTTCACGAATGACATACACAATGTTTATGGTTTTTATTTTTGTGTATTCTCAACCAACAACCATGCTGACAAAGGCAGGGTTTGCACTCATATATGTGCGTATAAGTAAATGCAGAGTAAAGCATGAAACCAACAACAACAAGACTGGTGCATTGCGGGAATTGGTGGTTTGTGACTAATTTCCGTAGATACATATGCAAATTTACATTTTGTATATATGCACCAGGCCCTGCCACCCCCACTCCCCCCATGGGATGGGTCCCATATACTGCCCCCATATGAGATCTTCCCCCTCCCCCCCCTGTGGTGTGGTAGGGGTGTGGTACTGTCCCTCCCTCCCCCCTCTTGTGGTGTGGTGGGGTGTTACTTATTTTGTTTTACGTGTCTACACAATGCTTTTCATGCATGTTGACATGTACACATAATTCATTCTGTCTCATGCGCACTCCGCATGGCTCAAGATTACTGCAAGCCCGCGTGTAAAAAGATTGCAGCTGCCACTGTAGTGACCGCAGGTGTTTAGATAGAATCCAGGCCTCAAAGTGGTAGCGGAGCCTTCGCCAAGTCTAGATCCGTGTGCCGAACTGTTGTTCTCTGCATACGCTCCGTGTATCGGACTTGCGGAGGCAATCTGTAGGTCAAGTTAGAGTAGCTGCCATGGTCTTAATCCACAACATGGATTCAGATGAAGAACAACTCCAGATTGTTTCTTATGAAGAGCCGGAAGCATATGCCGCCACCAGTCATTCCGAAAACCGGATGGGCATCAAAATGACACCGAAAGTTCCACCCCAATTTGATGGCCAATCAAGCTGGTTTGAATATGAAGATTTAATTGATGACTGGTTAGGGATCACAACATTGGATGCAGATAAGCACGGACCATCATTAAAGAATGCCCTCATTGGTTCCGCTTCTTTTTATAAGTCGATGCTTGACAATGCCCTACTCCGAGATCCGGATCGTGGCCTCGCCCATTTTAAGGACACATTGAGACCATACTTCGTGAAGGGAGTAAATCATGTGTTTCTTTGGCGATTCCTCCAGATGTTTCGCACATACCGAGGCCAGAGTGAATTCGTGCACTGGATAGGGCGATTTGAGATCGCACAGAAGCGTTTGTTGGCTTCTTGGTCCGATCTGCTAGACATATCCGATCTTCCCGAAGCAGGCACTCCGGCATTTACGGCAGCACTCACCGATGAGCAAAGACTGCACTATAATGGAATAGTAACAGATGAAGATAAGCTAGCTTACCAACAGGATCTTCGTGAACAGACCATCACAAATAGAAGGACCAGACATGCACAACAGTTTCCGTTGTCAGACAATTTGATGTCACTGATTTTCTTAGTTCAAGCA